AGCATGCAGAGAGAGACAGGTACACGTGTGACTATATAGTGAAAGGTGCTGTAAAACAAGTATCGCCCCCATGCCCACCCCCACCAAACCGCCGCTGAACCTACAGGCCTCCCTCGGGAGTGCTTCAGCAGGTAGATGGCGAAGTGGATGTGAAGATAGAACTCCAGCTTCTGGGCCAGCGAGTCCCCGTCTCGGACGGCACTGGGGACGTGCTGCTCCCACTGACGGAAGAAGGCCTTCTGGTCTCCGCTGTCGAAGGCGGCGAGGAGCTCCTTCTGTGGAGAAGACAGCGGACTGACCCCATGCCCTCACAGCATCACTCTCCATGGGGTTTCTGGGTGCGGGAACAGTGTCTTCCTGGGGAGGGCAGGCAGAGAGCAGAAAGCCCCGAGAGTGTCGACGCTGAGGCCGAGGTTCCTCAGACAGGCCCTAGCTCCCGCCCCTCTGCCCTACGGAACCTGTACCGAGCAGACACTTCTCTGAGCTGGGGGACCAGGCAGAGGCTGAACTTGAGGCCCCGTAAGAGCACTCAAGTTGCCTTTGGGCCGAGCTGACTCACAGCTCGGGGAAGCTCTGCATTCGGTGTGCGCTCCGGATGGTCAGCATGGCTAAGCCACTGTGTGGGGCCGTTTTGTAGAAAGCTGGACCCAGGGAGGCCCAGCTGCTTAATGGGAAGAACAGAAAAGAAGGGCTTGTGGCCACTAGATTTCTGGGTCTTTCAAGTTATGTGGAAATGGGCCTGCACAGCTGTGGCTGGAGCTGAAATGGGATGTCTAGCTGGTTGCAAACGCTCCGGAACCACCTCTCGAGGCACTAGACAGCTCGCTGGCCTGTCTGGTACTGTCACACAGCCTGGTCATGGGACGTCACAGACAACTCCAGTCCGCTAGTCGGGTGTGGAGGACGTACGGGCTCCTCCCAAGGCTTAGCCTCACAGCCTCTGTGGAGCCGCTCACCCATGATGCCATCCGATGGTCTGTCTGTCCATCCCATAGACCTCCCTTCCTTGTCCACAAGGAACCCGGCAGGGTCAGGGAGCGAGGCTGACTTAACAAAGCATAAGCTTCACACTTCCACCGCGTTCTCACACAGAGCACACGTGTTATACTGCGGTTTTTTTTTGTTTGGCAAGCTGCACGTTAACTTCATGTGAGCCCCATGCAGCACATGCTCCTTGTTCACATGGGCAAGTCATATGGGGAAACAGGGTATTCTCTTGTGTTAGACTCCGAAAGATGGACTCTGGGGCGGCAGCACCCACAGGGCAGCCCGTGTTTGAGGTGGCAGCGGCTGAGCCCCCGTTGCCCCGGGCGCAGACTGGCAGTGGAGGGCGAGCAGAGCTCCACCTGGAACGCCGCCGCAGGCCACTGAATGGCTTGCCCACGCGAGGCCACTGAGAGTCAGGGACAGGAGCAGATGGGCAGCGGCTGTGGCCTCGCCCCCAGTTCCTAAGTGGGGCTCATACACCAAATCGCACCTTCTTTGAGGAAGTAAGTATACGAGGGTCAATAAGCTTCCAGAATCGGAGAGGCATCTGAAGATGAAGTGCATTGCCTTGGGAAATGTCCAGGTGCACCAACCACAGACCTGGGTGTTATCCGCGAGACTGAGGTGCCACCCAGTGGCTGAAACCAGGACTTCTAAAGATGGCGGCCACACAGTCCACTGGCACCGCGGGGTCTCATAGCAATGCCCTTGCTTCCCTGAGGGCAGAGGCTTGGTCTGGGTCGTGCCTGCCACCATCACATGCATCTTGGCCCTAAGCAGTGCACGCTTCCCTTTGCGTCTGTCCCTACGCGTGCATGAGGGACCAGATCGATCGATCGATGACGTTACTGAGTGTCCACCCCCTCCGAGCAGTGGGAAAGGCCCGCAGGAAGCCCAGCGTTCCCCAGCAGGAGCAATTTCCCAAGCGGGGTACATCTTGACCACGCACGGAGGCCAGGCATACGCCGGTGTTACCTGGATGATGAGTGGCGTGGAGTCTCTCAAAGACGCCCCAGTGGGCTTGGGGAACGGCTTTCCTTTGGTCCTGCACTCTTTTGAAAACGTTTTCAAGGTGTCTTCAAACTCGGCGAAATCTAAATACTGTGAAGAAAACACGAACAGATACTTTTGCCCCGTTTTAAGCACCCACAACGCGAGTCCTTAGCTGGTGTCACACCCAAACCCAAACCCAAACCCACGCCCCAGAGCCACCGCCAAGGAGCTGATTCCGACTGAGAGCGGCCCTGCCCGGAGCTTCTGAGATGACTGGGCACCAGCCAAGGCCTTCACGACCGCACAACCAGG